AAAGATCTTGCTATATTTGAATGCCTTAGAAGAAAATCTTTTTAAAAGGAATCCAAACCACAACACGATATCTAATAATTTCATCTGGAGCCATTAAAGCGTAACCAATACACTTTAGAAGGGTTGTGTAAATACAGTGTAGCGGTAAATAAATTACAAAAATAAATAGCTCTGTAAGTTTTCGACATTGGATGCTGACCTGATTAGTTTTAGTGGACTCACCTAGCTGAAGGCGCTCGGTCATGCATCCGCACCAGATCACGTGTGGTAACGCTGTGCTCAACATCTACCGCAATCGCTAGCCAGATTAAATCAGAGATTTCCGACATATTGGAAATCGCCAAATACACTCTTCCGATCTCCTCGACTCTGTCTTTTGATTTCTCTTGGTGGGTACAAATTATATTAGAGGGTGTTGCTGATAAAAGCGTTGTCAAACACTGAATACCTGTGCCATCTTCAATAGTTATGACGTATCACATCAACGACCATTCCCTCTGCCCCAACGGATTGCTCCTATGATTCGGCACTACGCATCATCTAAGTTGACGTTTCCTCCAGATGGAATACAGTAGGGCTCACATAGAAACTTGTGTAGACATTTCCTTATACAACAACTTATTACTTCCTCTAGGAAAATTTTAAAGTTTAATAAATGGAAGTTGGCTCCTTACAGTTTGTTGTTGAAAGCAGGTCTCTTAACAGACTATATAACTCACTGTTTGTCCACCCCTCATAGATTCTAATGTTATACAACCTTCATTGCTTGAAGAAATATGTGGTTTTTTCTTATCCGCTAATTTTTCTGTACCGTAGCGACCCGATTTTAAGAAGAACCACTCTCGTATTACGAATATACTGACGGCGGTAGAGAGCTAGATGGAGATCGCTGACCATAAGGATAAGGCAGGTATCATATATACTGGCTGTTTGAAAGCTTGTGAGTAGCTCATTCACGATCACCCTGTCACCAAGTGTAAAGAGGTAGATACTATAGCGTTTTTACACGTGGGCTGTTTAGAGTCAGAGGGATTAATCGATCTCCCGAAATAAACCATGTTTCAATTCCTCAGAGTCTAACACGAGTACCCTTTGGATGCTACAGCCTGCACAAATTACCCTACTTATCTGGTATTTTCTAAATTATTTTTCTACAGGTAATGTTAGGTCATGAAGAGAAGTCTACAATCAGATATGTGGTTATTGCTTCAGAAAGATAAGGTTCGACTTTCAAGTTATGGAGATGACGATAGAGCGCTTTAAAACTAAAAAAACGGAATGTAGTTCATTTTCAGTATGGTTCAAAGAGGAAGTAGAAGTAATCGATTTTCCATCAAATTTGTCAAAACTAGAGAAGTTTAGATACATCTGTTCCCAGCGATCTTAAGTAATATACCAACTGCTTTAAATATTGTAAACATCTGTGAGAACCCTTTAAAACACTGATCTCAACTTTAGGGGTTGGATTAAAGATATGTTTATCAGTACTATAGAGTATTAATTTCCTAAAATCATCTACAGCTTCAAGTGATTCAAGTAGCTCTCATGAAGTCCTTAAGTAAATGACATGAGATAATATTGCTCCCGCGTTTGAAAGGAGTTTTTCATTTTACTAGTTTGAATTTGTCCACGTCTTACACTGGTTATTCATTGCTACTAAATAAAGAATTACGTCTAATCTGTAGGAACTTGAAACCAACTGAATCCATTTTTCTCATGAAGAAGCAGTAGTCACACTAACACCTCGATTTCTACTTAAGGCACACGTGATTAAACAGAGAACGGCATTTCAGACGTCGTATTTCTACTATTATATTCTTAATGACTAGAAATGGCTAACTGTCCAATCACGTAAGGCTCACACAGACGAACAGGAAGAAGCTCACGCGTTTCAAATTTAAAGCATTAACTGCTAATACATGAACGCCGCGAGTCTACCAAACAAATTGGATGAACTACGTGAACTTAGCAATGCTAATAAGGCCCATCTGATAGGAATATCTGAAACCTGGATATCTTCTCAGTTCTCGGACCAAGAGTTAGCATTACCTGGGATGTCTTTGTTCCGCAATGACAGGAAATCAGGACTTGGGGACGGAGTAGCTGTTTACATACGTTCTTTCTTGGAGGTGCATCAAGTTCATAACCTCGAGTTTAACAATCCTGAGGAATCTATATGGTGCTCTGTAAGATTGTCAAGTACTTCGAGGTGTCTAGTCCGAGTCATTTACAGGAAGCCAACTGCCGACATCGAGTACGACAGTTGTATACTGGAAGAACTATCCCGCTCTACTCGTCTCGGTTTCACACACATCCTGATTCTAGGGGACTTTAATCTCCCTAAAGTCAACTTCGCGGAACACACGTATACTGGAGGCGACAACTCAATTGAAGCTCGGTTCTTCAACCTCATCGATGACTTGGGATTGTTCGAAAACGTGAGGTGGGCAACTCTTTGGAGAAACAGTCAGACATCATCGCGCTTAGACTGTGTATTCACAAACGAAGAATTTCTAGTTGACAACCTTTCAATCTTGGCTCCCCTGGGAAAAAGCGATCACGCCGTCATAGCCTTCAGTTTTGTCAGCAAAACTAAGCTAAGATACCCCACTAATAACTTACGTTGGAATTTTAAACGGTTAAATGTGCCAGCTCTATACGACTATCTACAATATGTGGTTTGGGATGTTCATCCTCAACTCGACGTGGACGGTAATTGGGACTTCTTACTGCATACGCTCCTATGTGCTACAAACCATTCAGTTCCTCAAACGGTTCCCAAAAGCTGCAAGCCACCTACAGTAATCAAGAACCGTACCCTTCGCCTGCTAAGCCGCAAAAGGCACTGTTGGGCAGAATACAAACGAACTGATAACGACGGAGCATATAGGCAATATAAACATATAAGGAACATATGCACGAAGGCTATAAGAGAAGACAGACTTCAGTACCAGACAAAGCTTATGGACAAATTTGCCTCCAATCCTAAAAGCTTATTCCGTTATGCAGCCTCTCTTCGTCAAGCCAAAACTGGAGTTTCTCAACAAAGATGGTGATGCCGCTAACCTTCTTGCTGAACATTACTCCCAGACATTTCAACCGACCGAGATTAACTTTACTGATGACAGTTTCGTTTGCAATTCCACAGAACTTTCCGAAGTGAACCTAAGCGCTGACTTGGTGTTCCGGAAACTGCAGCACTTAAGATTAGACACTTCTCCTGGCCCGGACATGGTCCATTCCGCCATACTGAGGGAAGCAGCCCCAATCTTGGCAACGCCGCTTAGCGTGATGTTCTCACAATCGCTAAGTCGAGGAAAACTACCGGAAAATTGGAAATTGGCTCACATCACACCAATTTTCAAAGGAGATCGACGCAGCGAACCTTCAAGTTACCGACAGGTGGCTCTTCTCTCCATACTCTCTAAAATCATGGAGTCCTTGATATGCGATGGTATAAATGACTATTTACTGTCCTTAAATTTCTTCTCACACCAACAGCATGGTTTCAGGAAGGGTTACTCTTGTATTACCAACCTGCTGACTGCGGTGGACAGATGGACAAGCATCCTTGATCACAAGGGGAATGTTGATATCATCTACCTAGATTTCCCAAAAGCTTTTGATAAGGTTAACCATACATGTCTTATCAATAAGCTCAAACGATTGGGTATCAGACCACCTCTAATCGATTGGCTCACTTCATACCTGAAAAATCGACATTTTAAGGTTAGGGTTAATTTCACTTTATCTCAGGCTATGGAATGTCCTGGTGGGGTCCCCCAGGGCTCAGTACTAGGGCCTCTTCTCTTCTGGATCTAAATAAACGATCTTCCTCAAGAGGTATCGTCAGACTTACTACTTTTTGCCGACGACGTGAAACTTTGGAGAGAGATACGCAACCAAGACGATATACAGGCACTTCAGGAGGATCTGACTCGACTTCAAAGTTGGCTAGATGACAACGGACTTACCTTTAACACTTCAAAGTGTAAAGTAGTCCATCTGCGACATGTCGCAGACTACAGTTATAACTTAGGTAACTCCTCTCTAGTAGTATCCCAAGTCGAGAAAGATTAAGGAGTCCTGGTGCCCAACGATTTAAAGTCTTACGCTAACTGCGACAAAAATGCCTTCCGAGCAAACCTTGCACTGGTAACATTGAAGTGCATTTTTGGCCAGTTTGACGGAAGAACTTTCCATATGATCTTCAATAGTTTTATCCGTCCCCATTTAGAGTACGGAAACATAGTATTTCCCCCTCATTCCAAAAGGATAAGGACACCCTGGAGCGTATCCAACGGCGAGCCACGAAATCAGTTCGAGGACTCAAACTTAAACCTTATGAAGAGCGCCTCCAATAACTTAACCTTTACCCATTAGAGTATAGACGTCTTAGAGGTGATCTTCTGATGGCTTATAGTATCCTTAACACTTCTGGACATCCTCTCAAACACCTACCTAAGCTTAGTTCCAACACTAACCTAAGAGGTAACACCCAAAAACTGGAGACACAACATAGCAGAACGGACTGTAGACACAACTTCTACTCCTTAAGAGTTGTCAAATGATGGAATTCGCTGCCGAGCGAGCTAGTTCAAGCAACTTCAAGGGAGTCCTTTAAGAGGCGACTTGATCTATTCTTAAGCATTAAGGATAGTATCACACTATGATTTACTAATTTCTTTTCCACTTTTATTGTTAACACACATAGGTTCCTGCCTGGAGGATTTGGTGATCCCCTGCTACTAGACACGGAAGCCTGTTAAGAGAAAGCTTCTTCTATTCCGTCCACAACCATTTGAACCATTTGAATCCTGGATCATAGCTAAATCACACCATTTTCGAAAACGCTTTGATTTTTCAAAGTGTTGCTGAAATGTCGCTAAAGAAACAGGAGAAAAGTTAGGTAAAATTTGGTTTTAGCCAGATGGTTAAAGAATTAAAAGAAGGTTTACTTTTTTATTTCTTTTGTCCGACTGTGGATTTTAACACCAACACAAGGACATTACCGGCGCACATCTAAACAGATGTGGGCAGGGGTTAGTATTGGTTTTTAATTCAGTCATTTCAAATTGTCTTCTTTCAAAGTTTTATGATCTGTCTTGTATTCAACTTCACAAGCGTGTATTACGTACTGACAAGTGATTTTCGTCCACTTCCTGGAATGTCGCGTCAACTAGGACAATTTTACAGCTTGTCAACCCATATTTACGAACTTCATTTGCCTTCGTTGAACAGTTACCTGGATTTTCTCGCTTATGATTTTACAGTTGCGTTAAGTTTCAGTTTAGCCATTCAGCACCATTTCCTAGTGTCCCCAGCCCTTGTTTAGTTAAGCAACGAATCAACTGCATGCCAAACGTTTCGTCCTCCTGTCTGTTCCTATCCGTAATATGATGAATTCTTCCACCTTATTTTAGCACTCAATACTATTGAAGTACTGATTGCCAAAAAGCTTTCTTTGCAGCCCTTTTACTATCGACATCTTTTCTTTAATCACATTGCAAGGTATCAAATACTGGGTCGTCTTGATTCACCAGTTATACCAGAAGCTGGATATTGAATTTACCAACTGAATCTCTCCTGAGAATACTCACATTTTAGAAACCCTTATTCTCTCCAGAAATTGTATGGGTGACCATATACAAGGTGACTACTGTTTCCAGCTAGGTCGCTTTCCGATGACTGTACAAACCTGTGTAGTAGTAGTTCTGTTACCAAGTCACAATGAATCGTGTTTGGTTGATGCAAATATTATCTCGGTTCGTTGCCATCAACTTCGGTCAAGATTTATCTCACCTATTAATTTGTTAGATGACAAATCTAGTTTTGTTATTGTGACTAAAGATTTTTCTCATTTTTTCACGTACATGTTGGTGTATATACTCCTACAAAGTTTGTTAGTGAAAGTACTATAGGCTTGTAAGTGCATCAATGTAGAACGAAAATATTGATTGTTTGGGGCAACGTAATGGAAAAATACATTTAGTGCGAATGACTAAGCTAATCTGTGTTGCCTCATAATTTAAGTACGCTTACTACCTTGATTTCGTCGTGTTAAAATTTCCCGTTGACATTTGAGCCGTCCAGTCTATAAAGGATCCTTTTATGTTTTGTTGTACATTTGTATTCCTGCCAAGTGCACTTTTAGAATTTACTTATTTGTCTTAATTTCTTTTCAGCAAAACATTAACTATAATCCAAATGAACCAACTGAAGACCTTAAAGCATTTGAGCGTCGTCTTCGTGAAATTATCAATGGTTTAGGTCCAAAAGCATATAAGTGGCGAGTTGTTTTGTCTGTAGCTGTACTGATACTATTATGTTCGTCATACTGTTGGCTTATCGATCCTGTCACATACCAAGCCGGTTTTGTCGGTTCCTTGAAAAAACACCCAGAGTTTGTATGTAGCATTTTGTTTCTCATGGTTCTTTTTTTTATGGGAGCACATAAAAAAGTTGTTTTGCCTAGTATCATAGCTCATCGCAGTCGAGTTGTTTTAGCAGAATATAATATGGCATGTGATAATTCTGGAAAGCTCATTTTGAGACCTAAACCTAATCTCTAATAAACTATGTATAAATGCATCGTGTACATAATGTATAAAAACCAGCCGTTAAGTCTTTCATTATAGTTTACTTTGGACTATATGGATATATGTAGTCGTACTGAATAATGGTCAGTCAACGGATCAAAAGAAACAATTAAGTCCAGATTTTCAAATCAATTATTAATTTTCGTGTTATCAAGATTCCCGGAGTATCAATTCATATTTATACTGTTTAGTAAGCTATTTGTGGAATTATCCTCACCTTTTTTCAAACATGTGCCAACTTATGTGATTATTCCCATCAAACGATTGACAAATGAAAAGCCTAATGTTGATTCGTTTGTACAACTGATTACTAGGAAATATATTTTTCAGAATTTGTCTTTATGCTGTTTTATGTTGTTCAATTCAATAATTACTTCTACGTTATTTTAGGAAATGAATTGTTTACTAGTCAACCAAACTTTTATCCTTAAAAGTCATTTGCCATAAATTTCATTGCTGTGTAATCCTATTCAGTGAATTACTTCATTCTAGCTTTAAATTTGTAGAAGGCGTCAGTCTTGATTGTAGTTAAACACGAACGTAAAGGGGTTTGGAATTTGTGCGAGTGAGGCGATTACAAGGGGGTTTCTTCGACTGTCTGTAACAGCTCAAAAGGAGCGTGGTTCAGACTCGACCCAAAGATTGAAAACGGATTACTGTAAATACACTTAATTGAACCGCTTCACAATTTTCTGCGATACAATCATATTGTCTCATTACTCTGAAATAAAACCATTTGCATCCTCATCTTCGAAAATCTGTTTTGTATACAACAGTTATTGTGACGTGATTCTGTCAATACTGTCAAAAAGATTTGTTGTAGTCGTACTCTGGGAATTATACAGATGTTTACAAGATTGATCAATGAGTAATAAACCATGCATCATTTGCCGTCTTAACGCCTAGTGACCTACAAATGATCCAGATCGTAATCATTTTTTGTTCAGCATCCCATAGTTTACTATACCTCAAGCTGTAATAGACAAGAAAAGTAAGTTGTCTCGTTAGGTTAACTTTCCTAACCAATGTTTTGAATATACTAATTTCGTGGGTAGGTATCAGTCTGACTATACAGGAACATCTATATCGAGGTTGTTTCCAGGATCTGCTGATTATAGTTTCAATCAGTCACTCATGATGTAGAACTCGGTGCGTATGTACATCAGTTCAAGTTAACATACCCCACTAGCACAAAGCGTTGAAATTGTCTGGCCAAATCCCAGAATAGTAGGGGAAGTAACAGTATCAGTGGTAAGTATTAGGAAAGAATAGGCATCGAAGATACGATTCGAGAAAATATAAATCAGTGTGTTAAAAGCAAAAAGGGTTATGAGGAATTTAGAATATTAGGATTCAGGGAAGATAAAGAACGGATGCATCTGGACCATTGCAAACGATTTTGAGCCATTTCATGTAAAGTCTAACCATCGGTTACTGTAATTTCGCGGTCTTCAACCAGGTAATCTGCACATATTAACACGGCTAAGTCCAATTGTTAGTGACTTCATGGAATGACCCCATGTTTTGGCTTGGTCACCTCTAGCTTTCTTCCAGCCTACTCTCACACCAGAAAAAAACATTGCCCATTGAGGTAGGCGTACGTAACACATGGCCCAACCACCCCAGTCGATGGAGACTTATTACCCCTAATCGATTTGCCATCTTTACGTAGTACCCTATTCCTAACCTAGACATTACTCAGTGGTCCTAAAATACACTGACAGTGCTTCGAAGGCATGATCGGATACCTGTAACGCACGTATATCCTCCATTTGTAATGGCCACGTTTCACATCGGTAAAGTAGAACGAAACGAACTGCTGAGCAGTAAGCTCGTTCTGTGGTTGGAAGATGCATATCTGGCCTAAATCACAAGTGACACTAGTTGGCAAACGCCAATCGAGCCTTCTGAATCCGTGCTGAGATTTCGTCAGACAATCAGGACTGATAGGACTGCCAAAATAAGTAGAGCGATCAGCGGATTCACCTATTTTACTTCCTATCATTAATTTATGTAACGAGCTGAAGCAATATTTTACATTCTGGGGGGGGGGGAGAACCACATCTTAAACATGCTTGCATTATTGCTTAAGATGATCAAAGGACTTTTTGTCAGCGTCTTTACCAAACAGAACTAAATTATCTATGTATTCTAGTTCAACAAGTGAATCTCCCGGTAGATCAATTCCTGATATGTCAGACGATAAAAGTGTTATCTCTAAAAGCATATATATGACAAAGTTTAGTGAAGATGAGGAAAGCGTACAATTTTAACAAAGACCACTTGAAGTAACTAATTCCAATGACGGTTCTCCGTAAGCTCTGAATCGAACAGTAGTGTTCGAGTAGAGAGCCTGTATAAGATTCATTTACTTCAGGGCGCTTTTCACTGATAGACACTGTCACAAAGCTTCACGGCCAACGCAGTCGAACACCGCCTTAAGGTAAAAGAATACAACTATAGCAGGACGTCGAAAAGTATGTACATGTTAACTTTCTCACAAAACTTAGTTGCCTCGACTGACATATTATACGGTAATATTTTTTAATATAGGTGATATGAAATTAGTTTATCAAACTCCGTAACATCCTCTTCTATAGGTTGTGGAAAGCAAAAATACTAAGAATATAGTCTTTCAACGCTTTAAGAGGAGGTTTCACTACATATTTCTGGTAGCTGTATAGGTGCGTACAAATAGTAAAACCTAACAAAATGACGTGGCTAAGTATTATAGCCGAATCGCATATGTGGTTAGCTCTACTATTCCAAAATACTGTTGAAATTTGAGCGTTGTTACTGATGGTACACTTGATATTCACTAAATTTAGCCTATTTTAACATTGAAAAGTCTAGTAGAGTGTAAAGGGCAGTAACGCAAGATACATTGAACTGCTTTGCTCTATAAAATTACTGAATTCAGTAGGTCGGTAGTGAGTAATCTAGTGAGGACTTTTATTTTCCAGTCGATATTTCAGAAACACCAAGTACATAGTAGAGTAACATATTAACCAATAAACCAGAGTAAAATCGTGTTTACAATGTTCGATGTGAATGTTAACTTCGTGCTTGCCTCGAGACTAAGTTGTTGGTTTGAGAAATATCCCTGGATGGTTGATCTGAAATTAGCCACTGATTTGTGAAATAATGGTTGAGTAATAGGAACAGTGTGGAAAACTTCACACTTTTATTGGATTCTTGATAGCTGTAATGTTTAGATTAAAGCATCCTACTTGTTTACTTCTAAGCATTTTATTTTTGTTCCAGACGCTTATTTCCAACATGTTAAATACAATATAATACGCAAATTTCACTTTTTTAATTTTTTTTTGGAGATGTTTTCTGCGAAATTTTCATCACTCATGATATACTCTGCTAACTCGGAAGTGATGTGTAACCTTACAGTTGTTTACTTATTGAAGAAAACATTGTTATTTTAGTGAGTTGCTGTTTATCTTACTAGAATTTGATTTGATTTACTAACAACAGAAATAATAATAGTTCGTGGTGATAAAACCGATAATCAGAATGACTACTAGGAAAATATGACAAAAAACACCCTATTTACTGTAATAAGTGAAAGAACTCTAAAATATTTTCAGTCTAAAAGTTTCTCATTAATCCAGGAATAGATTAGTATAAAGTTTATCAACCATTATTGTCATGTGAAATGTAGATGTACTAACTGACTCCTCTAATCAGATTAGATATGAGTTTCCAAACACCTGAACCAGTTGCTTGAAGTTGAGCGATTAAACTACACTGATAAAACAATGGCACAAAAAAGTGACTTATCAAAACTAGGCTTCTATTAAGATTGATATAGCTTCGATTCATAATAAAGCAGAGCAAGTGCTCGGTTAATTACTGACTAAGTGTAGTGAGTATGATGAAGAACTGTTAAAATGTCAATGGGATGTACTGTCTTTTTTAATTAAGTTTAAACTGTCGTTATTAACCTACTGATATTAGAATGAATAATTTGTTCGAAGTTAAAGTTTTTATTACTGAAACAAAACGAAAAAAAATTTATTTACATATGATCATCAGATCAGCAATTCTAGTAATAATTAGATCAACAAATACAAATGAAAATTATCCAGTAATAAACACAGTTCTGATTTGCTTTTATGAGATTTTTTCCTTTGAAATCCGCTTATGGGTGATAAATAAATTGCATATATTCTGTTATTTGGAAGTGTAAGCAAGACAATTGCACTCTGATAATTCATTATATTTTGAACTGATTGTTACTTTATTCATATTTACACTAAAGTAAATTTTTCAAGACTAGTTTCATTCACATGAATTACAGTTTTATACGGTTCCCAACATGAAGGATCAGGCGTTGGTACTCGATATTTAGTGGATGGACCAGCTCTGGGGTTATTTGTATGCTCATCTTGTCCTTCTCTTATATCGACCACTGTAGTACAAGTTGTTGTACTTGTGGCCAAACTATCTGTTGTTGATGCTGAAGGGAGTCCCCGAGCGCACAGGGTTGGGGTCCCATTGTGTCTCATTTCTAGAACAGGAGTGTTTCCGGTAATAGTCGTTAGAGTTATTGCAGATGGTGAGTATGCTTTTTGCATTGAAGAACTCTTATTTGCAGCAGATTGGCTTACTTCTGTAATATGTAGTGATGGTGCTAGGTTATCTGTATTCGGGCTTTGAAACGCTGAGTCACGGGATAGAGATTCTTCACCTGGATGAAAGTTTCTATCCGACCATTCTAGTCCCGTAGGTGCATACCATCCAAGCTGAGATTCCTCAGCACTTTTAACATTTCTCGACCGTCTGTTTGATTGTGAACCTTGATAGTCTAATCCCACTTCACTTGAGGTATGTTCCACTATAGACCGATCTAGTGTTATATTTGAACTACCTCCACGACCACTTCCCCATTCTGAACCTGAACTGGGACCCCTTCCAGAGTCCTTGTCTTCTGTTTCCGAGCCTATTGACCCACCAGAACCGAAGCCTGGGGGTGGGGGTGGCAGGAAGTTTTGTGATGTATCTGGTGTAAAGTTTTGTAATGAATACATAGGATTTCTCTTATCAAGATGCGTAGTAAACATTACAGTAACTTGGTTAGAACATGTTGAATTAGAGTGCGGACTTCTGTTTGTCAACTCCTTATTTGATGCTGGTTTTGTTTGTCTAAACTCATCATTTGTCTGCATGACTACATGTTTCTGTACGGGAGTGTTATTCGTTTGGGAATCATTCAATGGTATGAAGTTGTTTGAACTTCCATCCCACGACGATTTTGCCTTTTGACTTGCACACCTCAGACTAGTAATCTCACAGTTCGATAAAACTCTACAGGTTTGGCGAGGAATGTATCCTGGTGTTCCTGTAGCTACTAGGTGGTCGACACACCATCTACGTACGTATAACCAAAAGTCATTCTCCGTCAACGGGAACATTACTTTCTGCTGAGCATGTGTAGATCTCATTCTTCCATCCACAGAATTAGTGATTGTTGGACTTGATAAGCTTTGATTCAAAACACAAACATATTCCCCCTGACGAACGCCTAATAGTTTGTATCTTTCTTTCCACTCTGCTGAGGGTCGAAAATCAATATTCACAACCGCTAGTAGTTCGCTATTGGTTAGAGAAGAATTTTGTACAAAGCTGCTGGTAGGCAATGTAAAAGGATGTAAAGTAAAACTCGTCGTGTTTGGACAATTAGATTGGATAGCTGAATTTAACCTTCGGGATACTATACATGTCTGAGGAAAAATAATAGGCGAATCTACATGAAACTGATTGCAAATCCTTACAGGAGAAGAAAGCTTTAATTTGGCCAGTCCCATATCTGGTTTCCAGCGCAAGTCATATTTTTGATAAGATGACGCTCTCTTCGGACTTGTAAGGGATTCATTTACATTCTTTGGGCATTTTTCTGATTTTCCTTTGGAAGCGGTTGTGTGACATGTCATGCTAGTCTTATTTCTGCTGGTCAAAGCAGAAATCGTTTTTTCATCCCACCCATATGCTTCCAAATCTTCTTCTTCACTACTTGTACTACTGCTACTCAGACCTTGTGATTTATATTGACGACGCTTTTCATTAACAACCTTACGATTTGAATATCTCTCACTTTCCCTATCTTTTTTACCTTTGTGATGTTTTTCATTAATTTTCTGTGTGGAATGTGTTCCATTATTTGGTAATATGCGTAAATCTAAACTGGAGCTACTATCTGAAGTACTACTACTTAAACGATGACTTAATCTTTCTTGGCTAGTTGTTGTTTCATCACTACTAGTACAACTACTTAACGAAGGATAGCTCAAACGAGATGGATTTGTCTCATCACTGCTATCATCACATTCATGAATATCATTTAAACTTCCATGACGATTCTTATAATTCATTCGAATTCTTTCATTAGATGATTCACAACTCTGTGAATTTGATGAAGATGATGTAGAATTTTTAATACCTTGATTATTTTCATCATTTTTTATTTGTTCACTTAATGGTGGTGAAGGACTTGGTGATGCTTGCCATATTTGTGTTGGTAATGTTGATTCAAATGTCACTGATACACCTAATCCACGACGTATATAAACATCAGATGATGATGATTTGAAACTAGCACCTGATTTTCTTTTATCAAGTGAATTATGTTTGATAATTTTACTTCTTAATGTATATTTATTCTGTAAATTATCATTTTGTTCATCTGTGAAATGTTTCTCTTCTGATTTTAACATTAATTCATTTTCTATGGTTGGTTCAAGTTTTGTTTTAGGATTTAATTTTGTTTTAGATTTTTTAGCAAATACTGAACGCATTTCTACTTGAATAATTTTTCTTTTTGTTTTCTAATTTTAATGGAAATGTTGAGGTGATTGTTGTTGTTTGTTTGTTTTGTTTTGTTTCTTTTCTACATCTTAGCCAAGTCAAATATCTGAAATGTTTATAAAAAAAATAACGTGGAATTAAAATGTTATTGATAGATTAACAAATCATAATCTAAATGAAGTAATTATAATAAATCTTATCTTGTGAACTAGTGATATATGTTTGTTACGTTAGTCAAGTATTTAACATGTAACTGAACTCCAAAGATCTTTGATATTGCCATCAGTATAATACCTTCAAATCATTGAACTATAATCTGATCGTCTACATTCTAAACTTTAATCGACATGTTGGGTATTAATTAATAGGTTACTGTTTCACTTCAGATTTGGTCGACTTTATAGGTAAAGAGATTTAATTCAAACATATATTCACTCAATCATGATCATATAGTTAATAATTTCAGTTAGTTTTGTGAAAGGAATTTCATTGACAGATTGTGAACTTGCGAACCATTTCATTTATAGTCATTAAAACTTTAAATTCCTTGTAGGCATTATTCAGTAAGATAACAAATTGATTTACGTTTTACTCGTAAAGCATTCAAATAAAACTTCCTAGTGTTTAGCTCAATAATTGACCAAGTGATAGGCACCTTTCTATTCACAAGTAACCATATAATTGTGTTGTATTATTTAGGTTATCTCGAACATTCAAGGCTATTATAAGGAATCGAGAAATGGTTACCAGGTTGAACTAATGGTATTCATTGTTCACCACTGTTACTAATGAAAATAAATATTCCGATTAACAGTTTTATTCTTATGATTACTTTCTTTGAGAATATACTTGTTTTTCTTTTGATCTTACAGATTTCCGTAAGTGTGATATAATAAATGAAATAAGTAGGAGTTTTAAAAATTATTACCACTGATAATTTTTATCATCATTTAGTGGGAATTTCGCCAAAAGAATTCTTTACAATACGATTTCTTGAGAATTATTAATTTGAGGGCAGTATTTTGCATGTGATTAGGAAACTATTTCGGTGATAAAAATCCTAACGTTACCATTATAATTAGACTTTCAATGTCCGTCTACTAGCCAAGAGACGAGTATACTGCATAGCATTACTGCATTGCTCTACGGGTGTAAAACATAGCTTGTGGAAACAAACACAGACGTAGTTTATGAATACTTTAGTCATAAGTGTATTCGAAGCATTGCTGGCATATTGTGGAGCCGCCATTTGACCAATACCAAGGTTGAGTATACTGGGTAAAAGATAAAAATACAGACCTGTTGGTGAAGTCACATATCCTAATAACTAATTTGGTTAGCATATGTGTTATCTAGACTTTTAATGTTCGCTAAAATATGAGTAAGTTGAAAAAAATACTAGTGATGTACAAATTCAGCCATAAAATTGGCATACGTAGTCGCCGACTATTAGTTTGAGACTCGCTAGAAGTTGCTAAGTCCATCTTTGGAGTCTACTCATTACCCGTTGTCACACGAAATTTGTATATAAATTGTTTTCTGGCATACCAGATAAATCATGCTATGAGCTTGGGTTCTATATCGTATACACACAAACAGTAGTAGTACATCTGTTCCTTCACTGTTGAGTATTACCTTATAACTTGATTCTATGGTTTCAGAAAATGAAATTCCATGTCTTTTTTCTATACTCATAATTTAAAAACAACCGGGCGATAAACTGAAATCTAGCACTGATATTTTTTAAATCCCTCTGATCTGAAACAGCCCTGAATATTTATTATTAATTTAGTTACCTACTTATTAGTAGTGTACTGCAGACGTGACAATTTCACTAAACTTCACCACGAGGAAAGTAACAAGCAAGCTATTTAAAGAGCTAAGCATTATCTTAATAAGAATTTAAATAATAGTTTTTGCTGAGTTCTTATTGATAAAGTATTAGGTTTTGATTACTCCTGACCAGTAATTAATATTCTTACCGGGCGAAACTGATATCGTAATGTCTAAATTTTGTTTTAGGAAATATGCAGGGGCCTGTAAAGATTTTGTTGCTTAAGCCAGTGTTCCCATTGTAACTACTGACAGATCACAACCGGTATTTCGGTTTACGGGGGTTTAGTAAACTAAATAACAATTCAAAATACCTTTCGGCTGATGTTGCAAACGTAAGTTGGCCTTAAAAAACCACATTTCTACAAAAGTTTCTGTGATCTTACTTCCCTTTAAAGTCGAGTAACTCTGAACAGCTTTCAGTTACACTGGCTTAGTTCTCCTCAGTGTTATCCTGATATCGAATAAACTTTTCTTTCTATTTTATGACCTTCAAGTATAACTCATTCACTTGGAAAGCTTTAAATGAATTATATATATAATTGAACAAAGAGCAGTTTTTACCACAAGCTACTTAGATAATCTTTACTTTATACTGTTCATTTATTTAATAAACTACTTAGTTGTGTACGTTAATAGATTCCTGGGTATTATGTGTCACTATTCTCTAAATTTTAATATTATTTTAAGTCTATAAATATAAAAATGTAATATAGTTTATAAAGAGTTCAATTTCAAGTGATATAAACTGGTTAGTAACAACAACAAAAAGTTAAACACTTTATGAAATAAATAATCCTAGTTACTTTATTAGACTGCACAATCCGAACATCATAAATGTAAGTTTTGAAATTATCTATAAAACTGGGGTTGACACAATGATGTTATCATTGTTATTGTGAATTTGTAGGTATCAATGACATGGTTGAACATGATAGTTTCAAATCAATTGAGCATTGCGTAGAAAATTATATATATATATATATATATATATATATATATATTTGTGATATCCCAATGAGTTGAAAATTGTATTTCCGACGTTTCGTGACTTAATGTAGGCCACTTCTTCAAAGTACTATTTATACTATCTAAACCTGTGTTAATTTTATTTTGGTTATTTACTTATTCTGAAGAAGGGGCTTAAGTATAGTATGTCAGAAATATAATTTTCCACTCATTGGGTTATCACAAATATATATATTCATTATTATTACTATTATGAATATTCCTCATTTTTATGTCGTTTTTCATGTCTATTACTGTAGAATTGCCATGTTTTATTATAGGCAAGTAAATAAATAATATACAAATTGTAAAAATCTATCTTAACCACTATACCATCTCTTTCATTTATCCTTTCATACTAGGAAAGCATCCATTGAATTACAAAATCTATGTGAATTACTCTTTTACTTAATATTTAAAAGAAAATATTAACTAAACTTTTCATTAAATAAAAAAGAAAATATTGTCAATTATTTTCTCTCTTTTTTAGATTCGTTGTTGTTGTTTTCTTTTTCTTTCTTACAATTGTCAGTTGTTATTTTATTCGTTAATATTGATAAGTTTGTGTTGCTTTTTATGAATAATATTGTCCGACCGGCCATTTTTTTTAAAAAAAAAATTTTCCATCCCCAAATTACAATATTTTTCATCCCGTGTTTCGTCCAATGAAATGGCTAGTTTCAAAAATTAGATTTCATTGGTTAGTTATGTCTTGAAAATTGTTATAAATTATCCGTACTTGTCGACGAAGCACAATTTCAATCGTCATTATGGAGCAGAGTGATGTGCCTAGTACAAGCGCTGGTGTTTCTCACGTCACGGAAATGGAGGAAGTCTTTTTGACTACCTTGTTTCTGGTTGCGTTTCCATCGGTTGAGGCGTTAAAGACCACTATCACGAATTTTGAAAGATCGACTTACAGTCATTATGTAGTGAGAGATTCGCATATTGGCAGAGATCAAAAATCCTACATTAAATTTGTATGTTGGCGAAATGGGCGTATAAGATCTAGCGGTTCGTCACAACGTATTAGACGGAGGAGGTAATTTGGTAAATTGTTTTATAATTTTTTTAACGAAGGGCTTCTATGAACACCCAATGTCCAGCATTTATGTTTTGTAAGATTATAGACGGCTATTGGACTGTTGTACGTGGGAATGTACATCACAATCACGAGTGCAATTCCCTGAGGTACCAGGGTAATTCATGGGTGCGCAGGTTAACGGATGGGGAGTTTGAAACTGTGAGACCGCTGCTGATTTCCGGTACCGCTGCATTCCACATAAAGAATTTTGCTTACCAATCCTATGGGAAATGTCTGACCGCTCAAGATGTCCGCAATATGCGGTACAAAGTGTTCTCACACGCGAACCTTCCTGGTACGGAATTTGCCAATTTATAATGTACACTATAGGTGATTACGGGAAATTGAAAGCTCACATAACATCCTTGGGTGGGCTTTGCGAATACGAATTGGACGATGAGAACTGTCTATCGTATTTCTTCTTCATGACTGCTGAGCAAGTGAATTTGGCCGGTCACTTTTGTGACGTAATTGGTTTTGACGGGACGTACAAAACGAATAACGAGAACGTCCATTTATATCAAGTCGTTGCCCTGGATATGAATTTTAAGGCAATACCCATGTGCATTGGCTTTTTATGTCGCGAAACGTCAACATTTATTTCTGCCTTCCTGCGTTTTTTCCAACGGTGTACCAACAGTCGACAACTGGTAGGCATTGTGACCGATGATTCACCTGCAATTGCTGCTGCTATTACGCAGGTGTATCCGGATGCACACCATATTCTGTGTCGCGTACACCTTGTTCGGAATGTGATAAAGAGGGTAAGTGTTTCGTTCATTAACATTAACCCAGTCACCGTTTTTGTAGAGGGTGCGATCAGAAATTGTACAACTGTTCTTTCGCCTCATGTTCACTCGAACGGTTGAAAGGTAAATCAAAATCTACCTAACATGATTTTGTAGTTTTAACAACGTACTTTCGTTAATCGAAATGTCGGACGGAACGTTTGGCAGATACGTCAGAGACCACCTTCTACCACGGAAACACAAATGGTCCACTGCTTTTCGACCGCCATCCACTCTCTTTGACCTGAACAATACGAACTTCGTCGAGACCAGTCACCGAGTCTTGAAGATGTATCACCTTAATCGAAAAACACCGGTTCTCAGATCCATTTTCAATGTGCTGCTTCGTACTGGATATTGGATGGAAGCAAGATTACATAAATATTCAATGGA